GGACTTTTCCGTTCATCTCGATCCGTTCTACCTTCTCAAAAATTTTGTCGGATATGGAAAGACTCACCCTGTATATAATATCAATTTTAAATCCAATGCATCATTATCGTATACAGTACGTGATGTAATGAAAAATTTATGATTTTCAGTCGTTTCGCTATCACATACTAAATATATTGAAAAAAACGCAAAAAAATATTGTAAACAACTTTTGAAAATGCATGAAACCATATATAAAAATCATCTATTTTTCAGTCGTTTCGATATCACATACTGATATTTACTTATAATTACATACTTATATTTAAAATCACATACTTTGTAACAGGGTTGTAAACCGGAGCAAAAATACGTTCTTTGGAGCGGTTTTGAACCGGTTCGAATTTAAAAACCGCTCCGAAAACCGGATGAATTTACGGAGTAAATTATTTGGAACTTGGGATGTAAACCGAACCGGAGCGAATAAGATTGTAAACCGGAGCATAAATACGTTCTTTGTAGCGGTTTTGAACCGATTCGAGTTTAAAAACCGCCCCGAAAACCGAATGAATAAAGTAAATTATTTAGAACTTGGAATGCAAATCGAACCGAACTGGTGAAATTTGCACATTTACCACCTTTCCAGCTATGTAGCAAAGATTCAAACGTGGTAAATCTTTTTAAATAAATTAAATCCTTTTTAGATAAAGAAACCGCTCCAAAACCGGTTTTTCATGCTCCGGTTTGAAACCGGAGCGTTTGAAATCATAATCAAAAATGGTTCGCTCCGGATCGGAACGATTTTATAAATGAAATTTTGATCCGTTCTCTCGGAGCGGATACACTTCAATGGTTCGGTTCGGTTTACAACTCTGCTTTGTAAGTCGTAATAAAAATAAATTATAAAATATATTTTTATTACGACTTACAAAATATGTGATTTTAAATATAAGTATGTAATTATAAGCAAATATAAATATGTGATATCGAAACGACTGAAAAATATATAATTTTCTGTAAATTTCCAAAATAAAAGTTTGTAATTATAATTAATTTACTTATTTATACCTGAATATATTCCTATATAGAACATTCCAGCAATGTTGTAGCAATGTTTCAGCAAATATTGCTGAAATGTTGAAATATCACTAAAATATTGTAATGTATTAGTCGTGTTTCATTATTTTAAATATATTACATTGCAATGTTGCTGTAATGTTTCGTTGTAATATTTCAAAAAGCAGACATCTTAATATTGCTGCAATCTTGCAGCAATTTTCGTAATCAATATGCAGTATTGCAATGTTTCAATGATATCATTCTGCAATGTTCCTGCAATCTCTCTGTGCTGTATGGGAGATGTTAAAAATATTTGTGGTTGCTCAACTTCTGTAAAGACTGAGGTATCGGCTAAATTCTTTCACTATAGAATAGAGGATATCATTGAAGGATGGTTGGTATATGTCGAGAATCGGTAAGAGGATTCGTTTTAATAAAATTTTGATGCAAAGAATTTCCGCCAACGCTGAAACTTCTGTAAAAGGTTAAGGTAGTTCTTTTGTAAAATCATTTATGTGAGATTTGTTTCAAATTTGTACAGTTTATTCTTTACATTAATACGTGCAAAGTAAGACTAATTAAATTAAAATTAACCGTCTCAAAGTTCTAAAAAGAATATTAAATTTACTATGTTACACGAAATATTACGTGTAAAACACTTAAAAAATATTACACGTAACAATATAATTCGTTGTATGTATAATATTTTTGCAACGGTCAGAAATTTTCTGAGCTAAGATTGAATTATTATTTTAGTGGAATAATTAAATTTCAGCAGTTGTAAAAATATTCTGCTAAACGCGACCAATGTTACAATAACTCAATATAACTTAACAATGTTTTCTGAATGTTAAATTGTAACGTTTACAAGACATTACAATTCAGCGGATATTAAACGTTTATGCAATATCTTTTCAACGTTGAATCTACATTTCGTAACATTGATGCAATATTGGAATGTTGTAATGGAACGTTTCTGAGATGTTGATTCAACATTTGTGTGCTGTATGGGCAGAAAGCTGTCTCTACGAGCCAAAATTGAAAAAAGAACTTTTACGGATGACGGAAAAGCCACGTGCTTCCGATTTGCATCTGTTTGTATAAATGAGACAATTTGAAGGAACTATTCCCACGAGTTAAAAACAATCGGCACAGCTGATAAAACATGGGAAGTAATTGGAAACTAGGATTATATCAATGTCTCAATAGCCGCAATTTCTACCTTGGAGACGATAACAATGTGACCGCGGAATGCCTTCCCGTTATCTACAGAAATGCTTGTCGTTATCCACGGCAAACAATCTCCGTCGTTTCGAAAATTGTGTCTCCGGACGAGCAAGTATGACGGCGCATTATGTACTCGCGTATATTAATAGCGCACCTTTAGCGTCCGCGCATGCAGCTAGCTCGTAGTAAAACGCTCACACACGACGGAATTTTGCAGCGTTCGTGGACGACGCTACCGAGCCTGTGGTGATCGACCGTTATCTAAACAATTGCGGGTCCGCCGATAAGCCGTAATTGGGACCTCGAAGGGACAATCGAGCGAACATGGCGCTGGCCAAGATTAGGAATTTCATCGACAACAGCCTGAAGACGGTGTCGACGCCGCTGGACCGCACGGTCCAGAATCTGGAGCCGGAAATCGGCGTCAAGATCGTGCACTCGCCGAACGACAAGACACTGCACGTCACCGTTCTCGGCGCCAGGCACTTGCCACAGAACTTCGGCTTCACCAGAGTCAATAGCTACGTCGTCAAGGTAGAATAAGCGAGACTGTGGCTCGAGAGTGCGGATCGATCGCACTTGAGCAAACAAAGCGCGTATGGCTCGTATTTTCGACGCACATTTAGCTTCGATGCATGTCTCGAAAGATTTACCACAGTTTTTGCCAACGTCGTTTAACTTACAATTAGTTTAATTCATCCTTTGTCTTTTTCTAACTGTTCCTCTGAAAAGACACAAAGGGTGAATAGAACGAGATCGAAGGTAAACGACGTTGGCGAAAGCCAGGATTGATGCGATCACGAAATTAATTTCATTTGCACCGATGTGAGATGAAACGATCGTGTCGTTCGATAAATGTGCGTCGGAGGTGCCGGACGAGGCCAACGCTTGTACACAAACTGCAAGATCGTGCTCCGCCACGCTTCGCCACTCGAGCCTGAATTACGCGTAAGTCGGAGACGCTCCCAGCACTCTCGGGTGTTATCTACGATTACGTAATGCTGTATGAGTAACGTATTATAGGAGTCCGGCATTGACTGTAGTATCTTATTGACTGGCATTCCTTACAACTCCCTTCGGCATTGCCGAATCGGACTCCGTTGCTAAACACCACACCCACAGAAAAAATTTTCGGATCCAATGCTATTATCCCCTCCCCCATAAAAAAGTATATATCCTGAAATATATTATATAATATATCAATACTTATGCAATTATATATATACATATATGTATATATAAAATATAAGAATGCATATAACTAATTAAATCATTTTTGCCGCCCATGATATAGAAGAAATATAAGAAAATACTATATATTTACGTAAAACATGCAAAATATATTTTAGTACATAATCTAATATATAAAATAGATATATCAGAATATATATAAAATATATGCCTGCATATATGAAATTAAATCATTTTTTGCCGTTTAAAATATATGATGAATATAAGTAAAGAAGGTATATTTTTATTATACTCAAGAATATATATACAAATATTTTCTATATATACAACTATATGTATAAATATGTATATATATGCAATTTATATAACACATATACACTGGTCAAAAAAATTAACGCAACAAGAAATTTACATCAAAATTTGGCGAATTTTAAATAAGCGTAACTTCGCAAAAACTGGTCGAATTGAAAAGTTTTTTTTCATTTTATAGGGCAAAGCCTCTGCTTTAAGAAGCTCTTATTGGAATTTGCATTCACTCTTCCCATTTCCCGGAACTTTCTCAAAATCATGATCATGTTTTTTCTTTAAAAAATTGCACACTTTGATGCACTGTGCGGAGTGTAGTAATTTTTCTTCGCCAGTTCTGCTTGCGGTATCAAAAAGTGTATACTTTTCTCTTCAATTAAAAAAAAAGAAGTTTCTACGATTTTTTTCCGCCAAATCACAGCTCATTGAAATAACCCTTGTGTTTTCGACATTACCGACGATATCTCCGTTAAAAATCATCGTAACAAGATCGTTTTTCTTTTAATTAAAGCTTGCACTTTCAGCTTCAAAAACTAGTCACCAGATTTTTCCTCGAATGCATCTGCGCTGCTGTAGCTTTTAAAATGTAAGGACATGTTTTTACCTAAAAAATAACCAACTTTGGCATGCTTTAATTAAAAAAAACGATCTTGCTACGATGATTTTTAACGGAGATATCGTCGGTAATGTCGAAAACACAAGGGTTATTTCAATGAGCTGTGATTTGGTGAAAAAAAATCGTAGGAACTTCTTTTTTTTTAAATTGAAGAGAAAAGTATACACTTTTTGATACCGTAAGCAGAACTGGCGAAGAAAAATTACTACACTCCGCACAGTGCGTCAAAGTGTGCAATTTTTTTAGAGAAAAAGCATGATCTTGATTTTGAGAAAGTTCCGGGAAATGAGGAGTGAATGCAAATTCCAATAAGAGTTTCTTAAAGCAGAGGCTTTGCCCTATAAAATGAAAAAAAACTTTTCAATTCGACCAGTTTTCGCGAAGTTACGCTTATTTGAAATTCGCCAAATTTTGATGTAAATTTCTTGTTGCGTTAATTTTTTTGACCAGTGTATTTTAAAATATAATATATGTAATATATGTAATATATTTTTAAATATATTTTTACATGTATATTTTTTTATGGGGGACACTTGAATGTATCATAAAATAGGATCGATATAGCGCCAATCATATTTATTGTAGAGCAAGGAATATTTTAATCTTAAATGAAAAATTTTAAAGTTTAGATTAAAATGATAGTATGAATCGTCTTTTGCCGAATATCGTGGTGCCAACTTCGTGCGTTGTAAGATGTAGGGACAATTTATTCTATAAAATGCAAGAATATATAAACTTACATTTATACAAGTCACTCTTGCCTTAATATAATAAAGTCAATCGTTTTTAATTCCATAGAAGAGAATAAGAATTATTGATTTTATTTTGATATTGTCTTATCTTTATACTAAATGAGGTTGTGAGAAATATAAATGCGTCAAGAATAATTTTGGTCTCGATAACAGAAATCCTTTCTGAGGGTGTAATACATGTAGCGGAAATCAATTCAACATATTTCGGAAACACGCGGTGTACACAGATCGTTAATAAAACGTCTGCTGCCAGGGGCATTGTAAAGATTTATAACTCGATTGCATTATTTACGACGGAGCGAAAATTCGATCGTAGATCGAAAGGAAAATTTTCTCTTTGTCAGGGACCGCTGGAATATATTTTAATCAGTTAGAAATGGACATGTAATTCGAAGAATTGTTTAGAAAAAATGTATTCTCGCCACCAAACGAACGCAAGCCAAAATCTATTAAAGTTTTTGAAAGCTAGCGCTTGACTGTCTGACTTTCTATTCTCATTTTTATATGTTTCCAAAATTCTAAAACTCGCGGAATAAGTCGAGAATCGGATTTTGCTGTCAGATATCGAGAAAACTGACAATCTCAATTTTTTAGGTGAAGCTGATTCCTGGAAAGGATAAGTTCGAGACCACGTCGAGGAGTGAATCCTGGCCGCAGTGGAACGAGGAATTTGTTTTTCATTTGCGCAAAGAGACCAAGCAAAAGTTTGGCAAGTCGAAGGTCGTGGAGGAGGAAATTAGCGGTTCCAGATTTGTCGTCGCGACTCTTTACGCGGTTCTTGAAGACAAGCCTCTGATAGCAACTGAGAAGAAGGACTCGGACAAAGATAAAACGTCGCCTACCAAGGAATCGGCGAAGAAGGGCGGGAAAAAGAAGGAGGGTCAAAGCACCTCTGGCGATAATCAGGATTCTAGCAAGGGCAAGCTTCTCAGCCAGTTCTTTGGCAAGAGTTCCGACAAACTCGCGGAACCCACAACCGCGGAGAGAAGAGCCTACGACAAGAGGCGAACCGTGGGCGCGACGACAGTTCCACTTGACCCGAAGAACTTTGTCTGCAAACCACCAAAATCGAAACATACCAGCGACGTAAGCACAGGAGACTTGTGGAAACCACTACGACCGATCACCAGCGGTATCTCAGGTGCCGAGGATAGAGTAAGTTTCCGCGGCTTCGTGACCGCACCCTGCGGTCGCAAAAACCGCAGCTGTACCATTTCTGAATGAAAAAAAAAATTTAATACGTTATTTGCAATGTATATGCAAATTTCATCTTTAGTTGACACTAGCTAATGCTGTATGCACTCGCGATCTATCGTACAACTGTGCAGTTACGAGGAGATTTTCTCGCGGATAAATTTTTTTCACCCAGACAAACCTGATTAGTATTGTAGAATTACGTCACTTTACTTCATCTCTACAATTCTTTGAAAATGGTTGTGGTGCCATCGTAAATATGTATGTTAATAAAAGATCGAATTTTGCAATTAAAATAAACGCGAAGCAATATTCTTTCAGAAAGAGAATAAGAAAGGGCAAGTTGAACTGTCCTTGTGTCTAACGAAGGGCGAGAAGGATGAAGACAGTGGCGGGCAGCTAATATTGTCTCTAAACCGTCTGAGATGTTCGCTTCAGACGATGCACGAGCACGAGGGCCTAAAAGGACAAATGTATCTGAAGATGTCGGTTGTCGACAACGGTCGCGTAACACATTTCTGGAAGAGTGATCGATTTGTACCGACGGTGTCCATGAAATTCTCGCCGGACACGGCGAGAGTCGTCGCCGACAACCCGTACAAAGGAGCGCTCAACGACGTGAGCTTCGTCGTAAAGTTCGTCTCGAAAAATAAAATGGGTAAGCGTTAAAAGTTTCACCTTTTCATAAAACAAAAACAGCATCGATATATAATTGTACTGCTCTCATTACGCAATTATTTAGGCAAGAAGACTCCCGTAGGCCACTTTGTGATCGGGCCCGATGTCGGTGGAAATTACGGCGAGCAATGGAAGCAAGCTCTAGCGAAACCGGGACAGCAGATAACGAAGTGGCAGGCGTTTGAATAAAAATAAGGCGCGCGACAAGTCGTTAACTTATTCAACATTACGAAAACCGTTGAACGACGTACTTTCCTCTTAGGTATCTAGAGACACAGCAGCGAAAACGAGAGCGCTACACGTATGCCATAAATATTTAAGACACCGATCGATAAGGCTATTCCAAAGAGTACCATAGAAACGTATACGAATGCAAACATTTACGTGAATCTTTCTTGCTGGACTTGTTCATGCCTCCGATCCGCTGCTGATTTTACATGAGAAAATCATTACGTGGCCACACAAGAGGAATCTGTTTTTTAAATGCATGAATCTAGGTGGAATTTTTGATCGCGCATATTCTGTATATATACAAAACCTGTGTCAATTTTAACCGTCCTTGACGCCGCTAAGGAAGGAAATCGATGTTTCTGTCCCAAATCCGATCAATGTAACCGTCCGTAAACTAAGAACTATTGTCTAAGCATTTAGATAATCTCTAAGCGTATAGGTGAGATGGATAATCATAACAAGTGCATATCATATTTTATAAGATCGCAAGAATAAATTCGCCATGTTATTTTAGTATTAATTTATATTTTCGATGCAAACATAAGTTTTATATGAATTAATGCTCGTATATGTAATCGCTTACGAAAGCGCGTCGTCAAAGGTATATGTCTTTTAGCAACGATAAATTTGACTAGTTTTATATGTACTTCAAATGCTCATATTTATTACCACGCTAGCTAAAAACGGAGTAAGCGGCGATCAATATTCGGAATTGATATTAGAAAAAAGCTATTTCCAATTGTGATACATCGAAATATTTTTTCTATTAATCATTATTTATACATTTATTAATATAAAATATTTGACATCAATGTTAAGACGCTTTAAAAATCACAAAACATATCGTTACATAATTGCACCGTACCCTTTTGAAGGCACTAAGCATGAGTTAATTAGTATTAATATTTTCAGTACTTTTACAGCTCAAATAAGAATGTCACATAATAAAATGGGAAAAATTCCAAAGTATTTATAAAATAATGTAATATCAATCAACATATTTTCTCTTTTTATAATTGTTTTAATAATGCATACTTTGACGGTATTTTAAGGAATATTTGTACGTTTGTATAACTGCTGACACCAAAAAGTACACATACATTTCGTTACAAATAAGATTTGATTTAGTTCTGTATTGTATGTAAAAAAACAGAAAATAACATTATTTATAAATATATCTCATATTGTCCTTAATATCATTATTCACCTGCGACGAAAAGCTCGATAAGTTTCTCAGATTTCATATTTGTCAATATTCAGTTTCCAGAAGTGGTTTTATTATCTATACTTCATACAATCATCCAACAGTTTTGTGGTAAATTTTGAGCGCGACATATTAAATGATATGTTGCTTTATTCGCTGTGTGCGTAGAGACTAGTGCTGCCGCGGTTGGTGAAATGTCGCATATTTGGCTGGAATAGCTGTCAATGATTGCTAATATTCAAGTTAGGTAAACTGTCGTGAGGTAGCTTGATAGTTTTAGGTCTCTTTATAATTTCGATGAAAAAATTTTCGTTATATTACAAAACATTTGCTATAGATTTTTCATTATATGTGTAGGTTAACTTCTCTAACTTTTGCAATGAGCCTTATCATACGAACGGGCTTTGGACCCATTATTCATGACGTTAAATTTAATCCGAGTGCAATACCGAAAGGAAAAGCCAATATCGCATGTAGTTTGCGTTGAAGAATTGCGCAGTGAAAATATAAGTCATTTAATAAGATGCAGTGTGAGAGAGATACCGCAAATGTCTGTCAATGCTACTCCGTACAAGGTATAATTACATGTAAGTATTAAATGAAATTTAAGTAAAATCCCAGACAACGTTATGTCGTCTTAAAGATATCTCAAATCTGTGAAATACATTTTTACATGAATACACGCAACAATTTAAATTTCCCTTTCGCAATTTTTCCATTTTTCGATAATTGTCACTCCAGCAAATAATGCAAACTTCGGCCACCATGAGCGCCCTAAGTCCTACTTTTCCGCTATAATATATCATCGCACGAAGCGAATACGAATAAAGCATACCGGTGATACAACGTTACAAATTATGCCTTGTTTATATTGTATGGCAGTAAAAGGCTAAATATTATTATGAAAATATATACAAAAATAAGAAGCTAGCAAAATGCCGCGTTAACACTAAATTGATCGTATGATTAATCTGGACGGTTTTAGCAGTCTTATCCTTAATATCTGGGGTTATAATAATCGACTAATTCGATATTAGTAAGGTTCATAATTTGTACTATAGTAATATTAAAATAGAAAAAATAGTACAAATATACATTTTTGTATATAGCAGTAAAAATCTATTTCTAGAAAATATGTAATTTTCTGATAAAATACAGTTTAAGCCAAGGCAAATTGACTGACTTACTGGAAGTTATCCCTTCTTATAAATATTTAAAAAATTGCCATAATTGATCTTTAAAGATAGATATAAAAAGGCACTTGATTGTGTAAAAAATTATAAAAATTACAAAATTGCGTGGTATAACTACAATATCTAAACTTGATTGCTGGAGTTTGTATGTCTTCCCTGATATTCGATGTGTAAAATGAGAGGAGTATTGTGTAAGTACAAGTGAATCTTGAACCGTTAAGATAGTTACCAGCGAGTTCTACAACATACTGGAGTGAGTGGTCCTACCCCATACAGCACAGATGGTTGCAGTTACATTGCAGAAACGTTGCAATCTTGCAGAGACATTGCAGGGATATAAAACTGCAAACTTTCGATAGCAATATTGCAGCAATGTTTCCAAAATAATAAAAATACTATATTTTCTATTTAAAAAGTTTTTCTAATTACGAGAATTTTATAACGTTATTTTCGTTGATACCAATAATGCGCGAATTATTAAGTACTTGATCAGTGCGGTGTTGCTCGCAATCTCCATCTATGGCGAAGCCACATAATCTCCTTAGGTTGCTTCGAATAGCTTGCTGTGTATTGAAAAAGGCCCGGATGCATATGTAATTAGTAAATTTTCTGCTTATGTACAACAACAAATTATTCCAAAAATATTGCACTGCAACATTGCTATAATGTTGCACTGCAATCTCTCTGAGGGCGGACATTTCAACGTTGCTGTAATCCTCCAGAAACGTTGCAGCAATGTTGCGCAACGTTGCTGCAATATTGCAATCTTGCAATGTAACATTTCTGCAATCTTCCTGCAATCTTTCTGTGCTGTGTGGGACTGATTCCTCTATTCTCGATGTCCTGAAAATCTATAATTTACGTAACAGTTTCGCTTAAGAAATAAGAAATTCTTCACTTTTTGTCTTTGAGTGAATAAATTCACTAAATATTCACTCCAATAGAGTGAACTGGTCAGCGACACCATAATTCGAGTGGAATTTACACTCAAAAAATTTTAGAGACCACTCACTCCAGTATGTTACAGAGCTCGCTAAGAGTTACAGAAATCTAAACTATCCAGTGAATCAGATCTGTTAAGAATCTTTGGCTAGACTTTTTTTTAAACGACGAATACGTATCGGACGGTTGTGATCAGGCCGATTAATAAGAGGTACCAATTCCCGTACTGGTAGGGCGCCGAGTTACAACCGTCTTTGCTATTGCATGTACAGTACTCCATAAATATATTGTACGTCCCAGTTCGCATTAAGCAAAATCGCTCGTCGCCCGCAATCCCTGGCTCGCCCATGTAAGCGCAGCTACGAAAATATCTCCATTGCCCGTGAACTGTAAAAATCGAGAAGCGACAGTTTGATATCTTTGTGTATTGGCTGTATGCGTGGGGCTATTACAGGTGAGCTACCTTTCTGACGAATTTTACGACACATCGTTGGTCTCACGCCCGGCAAGTGCTCCAGGTCAGGCTCCTGCTTGCAGTCTGTAATGGGTACTGTGGAATTGTCAAACGGATCCGCGCACTTCGGATCCGAGTCTGACCTGCAGACCCAACATTTAATAGAAAGGCCTGAAAGAATACAATAAAGTTCAAAACTTTTCTACCCCCATCTTAAGTCGTAGACGTGGAGAAAAACTGAAGGCGTGAAAGTCTATTGTGTACAACTTCAGTTTTTCTCTGTCTTGCTTTACGTCTACGATTTAGGCAGCCTTAGGGCCAGTTTCACAAACATTGGTTAACTGCTAACTGAAGGTTGATAGATTCTCTGTCTCTTCTTAAACAATAAGATGGAAAAAGATAGGAAGTCGACTGAACCTTATCTATACAGCACGCATGTCTAAAAGACATCTTTAAGACATCTTTAAGTCATACATATCTAAAAGACAACTTAAAGGCGTCTTAAAGATGTCTTTTAGACATGCGTGCTGTATGGGTAGTTAACAGTTAACCGATGTTTGTCAAACTGGTCCTTGAGCGTTTCTCTGCCTGCAGCCTAAGTACACACCCCAGCGAGAAATGACTCATCGATCGATATCGAAACAATGTCGAATCGACGTCGCTTCGTCGAATCATTTTCTACTGGGACTTCCCTCCACCCCCCCAAGACATTTAAACGCCGTCGATTTAAATATACCATCCAGAGTGTGCTTGTCTCGTTTTAGGGTAGGAGGAGTATTTTAAGTGCCGTTATTACCGTTTCGGTTATTTGATGCTAAAAATTGTATTAAGGTGAAGGTTAGGAATACGTGAAATACAATCCTTATCGCAGGTATACGCAAATTTTCGCAGAAACAATACGACGTTACGCACACGCGCGTACATAGCACCCGTAATCGCGATCCTCGAGTAGGTTCTTTGAAGGTTAACGTAAAATACTAATTAAACTTATTTTTACAGATGTGCTACTTGATATACCTTCTTGGATGTAGCAGAGGAGGAGCAACGCCGCCGCGAGAGAGGAAACGCGGATTCCAGTGGCCATTTCGGGAAAAAAGTGTGAGGAACGTCTTGGTACTTTCCTTCGCAAAAACTCCTCGCGGCAAAGAGAGATTCAACGCCCCCAAATACTCTTTACATTCACAATATTCTGTCCACGCCTATAATTGACACAACTGACCGCGCGCCGCGCTAGGCTAGCCCTCCAGTTATACCGGGTGGCTCAGAAACGGAGAAACCGGGGTAAGCTACTCGCTGGAAGTCTCATTCGTAATGAACGGCTCAATAGTAAACGCCAATGGGCAACGTTGTTATACGATTATCGATGTAACAAACCATAAATGCTGTGCAGACTTTAATAGTTTTATTATTTCATATTACATATAATTTATATTATTTAATTTTACGTATAAATATCGAAGGGCATTCTTCCCAGCGAGAAATAGCTCAACAATCGATGTCGAAATGCTGTCGAATTGACATCGACACCATCAAATTGACGTCGAATCGACATTGTTTCGACGAATCATAGAAATTTGTAGAAATTTTTATATCTTCGTTGAAACATTAATTTTTTTGTAAAAATATCTACGAAATAATACTACAAATTACAATGTTCTCAAATCGAGAAATTATTGCAAGTAGCACTTTATGAAAATGTACAATTTTGTAAAAATTAATACAAAACTTCACTAGTTTCGAAAATTTGAGAAACAACAAAATCTTAAAGAATATAACATCTTACTTGTAGAATATTACGAAAATTAACAAAAGTGCTCCAATTCTAGCATTTTCATGTTGATTTTTATAATATACTTTCTAAAACGTAGAATTTCTTAGATTCCGGTAGTATATTTTATTTGTTTCGTAGAATTTTGTAGTATTATTTCCGGCAGGGTATCTGTTATCACAGAACTTGTATCATAAGTCTACAATTAGTCAAGTTTCAATATTAGTAAAAAAACCGCTCGGCTAGCGAATGGCGAATTGCGCACGGCGAATCGACAAATTGTTCCTCCGCATTATTCATAAATATACGAATAACGAATCGCGCATAGTGTGGCGCTAGCTTTGTGGTAAATAAAATTTCCGGGATCAATTGTTCTATATCGGCGATCCGTACGCCGTGTCCATATATTGTTTAATTATCACAATTAACCACGAGGTGCACCACTCTGACCTCTTATGCAGCTGCTTGTAAAGGGTGTTCTACTAATATGAGCAAATCTAACAATAAGTGAATTTATATTTAGATATCATATGTATTGATACTTTGACATCGTTTCAGCGAATAATTAGACATCGAAAGATAAGTGTGCGACATAGAAAATAACGTGCTAAAGTTTTAAAGACTCGAAACAAATTTTATATTGTAGGCGAACATCGAGAAGCCCTCTCGACCTCATGTGTGTTTATATGTACGGTACTGAGGACTTCGGGTGTACTCGGGTTCTCTGGGGTTATGTCACGCGTGACTCGAGTTAACCGCGCTCAACAGATGTGATATCCCTCGTTACAGTGTCACGGTATCTATGTGTATCTACATAGATAGCACAAGACACTCCTATGTACATTTTAAGAATATTCTTCAAGAACATTTGGAACATTCCATAGGTCATTCTTATATATTTATCTTATGTTCGTGGAATATTCGACTGGCACTATAAATTTTTTTCGAATGTAGGTAGAATAATCTATCGAATATAGCGTGTCGGTTATATATGGTATGATCACAGGTTTCACTGCTTTTTGCATAAGATAAGTGTCTTACGCAATAAACAATGTGCAATACATAAACTAGATGAATATTAAAAAATTATTCTGAACGAATATTCCAAAGACATTCTCGACGAATATTCTAAAAACGTTCTTCTTTGTTATGAATATACGATTTCTAATTGTAATAATCTTTATATATTTATGGAATATTCTGGAGTTAAGAATATTTGCACTCCAGAAGAACATTCATAGAATTATAGGTGCTACGAGTACGTACAATGGCATGTATATTCGTCAGAAGAGTGAAATTATATTAGGAAACCCAACCCATACAGCACAGAAATTTGCAACAACATTGCTGTAACATTGCAACATTGCATATTGCAGTGTAATGTTACATAGATATTGCAGAGACATTATTTTACAATGTTACTTTAGTAATGTTGTTGCAATATTCTTTTAAAATATTGATACAATTATGTTTGTAATATGTATAATATATTTGTGTCTTCATCTCACTTTTATAGTTTATTTGTATTATTATGTACCTATATACATACATATAGATATATACATAGAGATAAATAAATATAAAAAGGTGCAAATTGGAAATTTTCACATTGCTTCCTCATCACATGTGGCCCAGTTTTTTTTAATTTAAAGGTGCAAATTGGAAATTTGGGATCAACATTGTGGCAAGTTGTCTATTCAAATTTGGCTTTCTCATAGAGGAAGCTTTGTGAGTTAATGTGCAAATTAAATAAGAATTTATATGGGAGTTCATCAATTTCATAAACTCATTGAAATTTATGGAATTATTACTGACGATGAGATAACAGACGTTACAACTTCTTAACACAAATTTATGGTAAATTTATTATGGATAAATTATAAGATGCACGTTCAGAATAATTTGTTTATAAAAAATTGTTACGAGGGACAAAAAGCCAGAAACACGTATGCGAAGAGAAGGAAAATTAGAAACTTGGATATGGCTTTCTCATAGAGGAAGCTTCGTATGCAAATAAAAATTCTGGAGTAAGCAATTTCCAAAATGCACCTTAACTCACAAAGCCTCTTCTATGAGGTTACCCAAATTTTTAATAATCACTTTCCCTCATAATGACGAAGTAATTTCCAAATTTTCAGTTTGCATTTTTACAAGTTAGATTAAGCAATGTTCAAAGGATTGGATTTCCGAGAATTTCAAACTTCAAATTGCGAAAATCACAAATCTCGAAAACTAACAAAGTATCAGGAGAATGTGATCAGCAAAGAGGTGGCACTATCAAAAATTCCAAAAATTAGATTTCCGAGAATTTCAAACTTTAAATCGCGAAAATCGAAAATCGCAAAACTGGCAAAGTATCAAGAGAACATGATCAGCAAAGAGGTGGCACTATCTAAAATTCCAAGAATTGGATTTTCGAGAATTTCCAAATTCAAATCGTG